CCCTGCTCACTTCTGCCTCTTGTTGCTGCTGGGCTGAGTATCAGAAGCCAATACCAATGTGTTCCCCTACTGCTGCTCTCTCTTAAAGAGGAGAAATGCTTCTCTACACCCATGATTTTATAAAACTTGGGGAAAATAAATGACGGATACAGAAAACCGGATAATTTTTAAAATGTTTTGTTAGTATATGTTTGCAATACATAATACCAGCCAATACATGCATTTTGGAGAAGTGGAGCATGTATATATCACATGTTGGTCCTTTTTACTTCCCTCTTCCCTCCACCTCCTCCTTGTCTCCCCGCATCCTAAAATTCCCTTCCCAACTCCATAAAGTCTATCTCCCTGTTTCCTACCATTTAACTTTTATTTTGTTCTTTAGTATACTTTGGATTTCTCATATAAGAGAAACCATTCAATATTTAACCTGTGTCTGATTTATTTAATGTAGCATTATGATCTCAAAGTGTATCCATTTTTCTACAAAAGACTCAAATTTATCCTCCTTTATGCATATAAACCACACTTTATGTATTCATCTGCTGATGGTCATATAGACTGCTTCCAGTATTTATTGTGAATTGTGCTGTGTAACATAGCTATGCATGTATTATTGTAACATGATGCCTTTAAGTCTTTCAAGGAGACACGCAGAAGAGGTATGGCTGGGTGAACAGAATTTCTATTTGTAATTTTTTAAGGAATCTCCATACTGATTTCCATAGTGGTTACATTAGTTTACATTCTCACCAACAGTATAGAAGGGCTCTTTTTCCCCTACAACCTCACTAGTATTTGCTGATTTTTAAGTTCTTGGTGATATATTTTTCATGTATGGATGGGGAAGCAGATATTATTTCTTTTTTTTTTTTTTTTTTTGGTTTTTCTCCGGTACCAGGAACCGAACTCACGACCTTGCGCTTGCCAGGCAGGCGCTTTTGCCGCTGAGCTAAATCCCCAGCCCATCAGATATTATTTCTGTTGACTATAAAGGTAATCAAGCTAACTCATTTATGTGAACTTTTGGGCATTATATGTATATCAATCTACTGCTCTTGATTTTTAAGTCACTGGGGATGGGGGGCAGCACTATTATCTGGCTGTCAGAAGAAATGATCCTCTGTTCTCAGAGAATCTCAGGACTAGGAGCAGCTAAAAAGCCATTACAAGCACACAGAAACTCACCTGCAGGGAAGTTATTCCCCTCCACCCTGCATATCCCACGGGAGGGGAGCTACTCTACGAAACTTAGAGTATAAACATCTGAAGTTGGGTGGTTTTTTTAAAAAAACATCAATTGCACAAAAATAGAATGGAGATGCCTGAGTTTGAAAGGTCCTCCTGTAAACAAGAGGAGCTTAATCTTGTCATTCACGGACAGCAGCTCAGTGGGACTCGGTTTCCACCAGTGTGGATGCGTGCACATTCCTTAGGATTTCTTATTTATGTAGCCCATCCTACAAGAGACCACAGCAGATGCCCTTTCTCCCTGCCCCTACAGAAGAACTACTGGGGAAGCAATGCCCTCCCCTCACAGGTGACCCCCACGAGGCTGCCCCTGAGCACAGTCTATGGAGCGGGTGATTTTCCTCTGCCTGGACCAGGGCCAGTGCACGCAAGAGACAAGCCTTGATTTCCTACCAGTACCCCTTCCGGACACCTTTTAGTCCTGTTTCTTGCCTTATTTTATATTTTGGAATAGATATATATGTCTATCTAACATTTCATGCTCCATATTCTATTTTATGTTACTTAAATCGATATCAATTTTATTTCTGTAGAGCCCAAAAGCAGCTGATACTAGCAACAACCACACTGCTCAGTAACTTAATGGGAGTAATAAAAGTAAAACAAGGAAAAGGGATGAAAAATAATGGGGCCGAGGATGGGACAGCTCATTTAAATCAAAATGCTTTCCTCTTATGAAAGTTGTCACATTTCTAAAAGCTGAGGTCCAGCTTTCTCAGCCATCTCCAGCAAAACAAGCAGCTAGACTAAGAAATCACACGGGGAGACTGAGCCAGACATGGCTTAGTGGCAACTATCAATTCTAGGCAGACAGTCTCTCCTCAACATGTTCAGCATGGCTCAGTGAATGCCGTCCTAGGGCCAGACCACAGAGAGCCCACAAATACAACATCCTAAGTGGTAGAAGCACAAGATTCATCACCTGGAGCTTTACTAAAGGCTTCTCTGTCCACCAGCCAACCCTGGCCTTGGACAAGATGGGAAGTCACTCATCCTGTGCCTTTGGACTTTCTAATCCGGACAGCCCAGCAACAGAGATAAATAAACCTGAAATATGGGCTGGGTCCATCAGAAGCGAAGCGTTTGGACAATGCGTGTGTTTGGATGGTGGTTCAAAGTCAGGTCACATTTTTTATGCTTCCCAGGGGCAGGACAAGAGACTGGGTGTCCTGGGGACAGCATGGAGCCGTGGCTGGGTGGACTTCCCCAGATGAACCACAGCACATTAACCACTCTGAGTCTCCGCTTGGTGGGAAATGAAAGTGGGGCCCAGGGCGAGCGAGGGGCTGCTTTGCCTAGTGTCACAGCAGAAGACCTAGTGCTGGTCTGGTCAGCCAGGGAGGGATCTGAATGCTCTGGAGGCTCTGATGAAAGGAGGAAGGCAGAGCTCAGTGGTTCAGGGATGCTTGAAGGAGAACACACAATGGCAGTCCTGAGGACAGCTTAGGAAGAAAGGCGTAGGCTGGAGCAGGTGGCCCCTCGGAGGGGGAGGAGCGAGCAAGGCGTTCCTTCCTGTGGCCCGCGCAGGGCGGGACTCCTATTTGAACCTGCTCTCCAGAAGCTGAGCTCACACTGCTGGGTCTGGGGCCTCGTGTTGCTCCCTCCGAAGCTTCCTTCCCTGGCCGCTGGGGGTGTCTGAGTTCAACATCCCTCCCAAGTCTCCTCAAAGGTCACGGCCAATTCTCGCAACCTCCTCCAAGAAAAGCCCCCCCCCCCCACTTACTGACCCAAGGACAATAGGAGACAGACAAGCCTTTTATAGCTGTTGCTGAGCTCATCCTGATTCAGTTCACTCCTTGGGGGTGTGGGCACCCCTCCACCCTTAGCTATTTAGTGTAGCCTAGCTCTTGATTCTGCACTGCAGTGCCTGCTATAATAAATACACACCCCCACCTTCCTGTCTGGTCAAAGGGAGCAGAGCCTCCCTCTGCCCGCACTGACCTCTCCGCTCTTTAAAATACTAATTCTCAATTTTGAGAGAAGAAAAACATTTTTGTGAAACTATCCTTTCTCTGAATAGCTTTCTCTAATATGAACTTGAAATTTTTAGGAGCATTTTGTAATCCAGGAATCTGGGTAAAATCATTCATGAGTGATATATTTGCCTGTGTACATTGCAAGTTGTGTATTTAATTCCTCCCTCCCTATGTTTTATCTCTCACTTGTACCTCTGGAAATTTAGGTACCCTAGGTGCCCCTGCAGAACAAACTCCACAGGGAATCTCACTGCTACAGAAGGGCAAGCATTCTGCCCCAAGGTGCTATAAATGAAAATGTAAAATCTGATATATTTTGGCAAACAGTTTCTCTTCTGATGTTCAGTGGCTAGAGTTGTATTAGATTTCTTCACACTGAATCATTAGCCTAGGAAAGGCAATGTATGGAAGACAGAAGTGTGTGCTAGGGTCAAGCCAGAGGTCAGACCAAGCATAGGCCCTGCCTGGTAAGACTGCAGAGGCCACTGGAGATGGCTTCTCTTACCCAGAAGGTACAGAAGCTATCTGTTCTCTGATCTCTGAATCACCATTTCCAGACCAATTCTTTTTATGAAAACAATTTGGAAAGGGGCCATTTAAGTTAATGAAGAATAACTAAACCCCATCAAGCCCGCAAAAATGGCAACAAAAGGCTAAGTCCCTTTCTTCAAAACACTTGACCTGCACTAAGTTACCAGCACAGCACGAAAGATCTCTGAGCACCTCCAAGCAGAGAGGACACCAAAGTCATCCTTCCTCCCTTCCTCCTAGGGACTTCTCTGTGTGCGGTGGGCAGAGTGCGCGTTTTCTAGCCACCTGCATCTGTAGGGCCTCAGCAAAGGCAGAGAACACCTCTGCAAATCAGCCTATCGCATTGTGCATGATGAATAGATACAATTTCTACTTCCAAGTTAAAATAAATTAATTTTAAAAATTTTAGAATACCAGTTATATAAAGGAGAAAGCAATGGCTCTCAGAGGGCCATGAGTTGCAGGAGTCACCCACAGACCCTCTGGTTCTTTGTGCCTCCAGTCTTCTTCTGTCATCTCTAACTCAATCCATATCTCCACCACCCTCCCACATGCTCCTGGCACAGGTCTGCCCAGGACAGATGATTAGGAAACAGGTCCAGGAGAAAGAGGAAGAGAAGTGGGTTTTTTAATAACTTTACAAAACACACAAAGCTGTGTCAGTTCCAAGCTTGTTCCTACATCAGGACATTTAGACATGTTACTCCCTTCAAGTGGAAAGTAACTTTTGCTGTTCTGATAAAGGCATCAAATTCTATAATTGTAAATATGATATAATAGAAATATAAATTATTACAGGTTACAAATATTGTTGTTCATTCTCTGCAGCCTCTTCTAACTCCTCTCCCACACCCAGTCCCTTGGGCTGCTCCAGGAAAACACAGCAGGCCTGGCATCATTGAGACTCTGCACAGGGAGGAAAGAGATCAAGTCCTTCTCCACCCTTCAGCAAGAGTTGATGCCATTCTCCATGCAGGTGCTCCCACAGGCAGGGGACCTGCTTTGTAGTCCTTCGTATCTACTTGCCTGATGAAGCCACAAATAGTGACCATGTCAACAGTGAACAGTCTTGACTGGGAAACGTGTGTACTTTCACTGGATATGTACACACATGCCAAGAGAGTTTGTTGTGGACGCAGCTGCTCCCAAATTCTCAAGCCATTTCTTAAGATGAGGATTTGTAGAGCAAAGAGCATCTGCTATGAAGATGAACACACCTAAGTTGAAACTCTGGCCCCTGTTTTCTCAGTGATGATGCCCTTTTCAGTGAAGGCAAATTCCATCTCTGCAATCTTCATCTGGAGAAGAAATGGAGTTGCAGTGAGGAGCAAATGGAATAATGTGTATAAGACACCCATCACTCACTAGATGCTCAATAAATGGCAGAGGGTACCATTATTCTTCCAGGGTTGGATGGAAAAGCATAATATTTACTAACTATTATTTGCTCTGCCTTGAGTTTAGAGTTTTTAGTTATCTATTCATTTCATACAGACACACAAACTATGAAGTATATTAAAGGGAATTTTTAATAAAGTTAGAGTCATGACTCTAGTATAGGTGTAAAGTAAATGCGTCAAAGATTTTGTTTTACTTGGAAATAATGAGAAGACTGGTAAGATATTACAAGTGAGTAAAAGGAAATTCAATAAACATTTCTATAGACATTCAAATACCTTTACACACAGATGAGAACTGGACTAATATCCATAGGTTTATCACTTGTATTGCACTGGACAAAATTTACTTGAATTTTTATGTTCAAGAACTATTTGAAATTTACTATGATTTTTCTATAACTTACAGAATTGTAAAATGGCTCAAACAGTGAAAGAGGCAGCCCTCTCATAGCACTAGATAATCCGGAACAGTTACCATACGCCCTTTTTATTTTTGTTCATTTCAAAGAATTCCACAGCATTTTCTGATGTAACTGTTATTATCCTCAACTGCAGTGAGAAAACAGATTCATCATGTGATACGTCTACAGGCACACACACAACACACACAGGAGTTTAAACGGCAGTATTTGGGTTCAAACTCATCTGAATCGGCATTGCCTTATCTGAATGGCTGGGATTTTTCTTTGTCCTTATGTTCCAGGGATGAACAACCAATATATCCGTCGGGAAGTCTTCTGCTGTGAGACGTGCGATGAGCTCAAAAGCTTCTGGGAAAAAGAAATCAGCAAACAGACTTGTTACCGAGAACTGGAGGAATATCGCCAGGGAAGAAGCGCCCTGAGAAAGTACGTAGATTGTTTATTGTTATTTTTAAAGTAGGTTCTTTAAAAAGTAGGTTTCTCCAGAAATATGCCAGATGTGAATAGGGGGAACAAAATTGTTTTCCCTACCTATTGTTTTAAGAATTGTGTTACAGTTCACAAGGGAACCCCGGGACTGTGTCCAGGTGGCAGAGGACAGGAACTGGGGGGATGCTTAAGCCAGAACCTGGGGCAGCCAGGCAGGAAAAAGTGCACAGTTTAAGACTGGCCAGCTTAGCAGTTCTGGCAGGTCTCAGCACATATTCTCCAGGAGCAGTTTCTAGTTCCCTCATACCTGGCTCCAGGATGCTTTAGGGCAAGGGAAATACTGGCTGGGTGGTGAAATGGATACAGAGATGATGGAGAGTGGCTGGTTTGGAGATTGGCTGATCTATTGTTAACTGTAAGGACTAATCCTAGGAGGGGGAATCTGTTCCCTGCCACCAAATTTGCAATATGTCAAAACATCATGAAATACAGAAAATAGAACGAAGTTTAATAACAACCACTCATTCAGTCTTGTGACTAGAATTTTCCAAGTGAATCTATGCCCTGCTTCTCAAAGGGCTTGTCAGAAATGCTGACTTTTAGGGTCAGATCTTTCTTTGTTATAGAAGGGGAGCTGTCTGGTGTTTTCTCTTCTTCTTTCTTTTTTTGTTTTATTTTGTTCTGTTTCTGTTTTTTGGTTTGGGTTTGGGTGGTACTGGGATTTAAGCCAGGGCTTTTACACTGATCTACATCCATAGGCCTTTTATCATTGTTTATGTAGAGACAGGGTCTCACTAAGTCACTAACTGGTCCAAGGTGGGCTGGAATTTGTAAAATCCTCCTGCCTCAGCCTCCCAGAGTGCTGGGATTGGCTCTGTCTTGTGCTTTGTAAGACATTTAGCAGCATCTGTGGCATCAAAACACTAGCTATTGATAGCATCCCCTCCCCTATTGTGACAAACAGGTTCCCTGGAGAAAAAGCAGTCTTTATCACGAATCAGTGACTTACAGAACTAAGATAAACACTTTTAAGGTATAAACAAACATAAGGTTGTGTTACTTAAATCCTGATGAACCAAAAAAAATTTCTTCCTCACCTCTTCACTGTGGCAGCATGTGGAACTACATTAAATCTAAGGGTTAACTTGACATATATGTGTCTGTGAAAAACTAGTTCAATAAAAAGATCTCGGGTCTGGGAGGATACATAGTCAGAGGAGGAGAGCAGCATGACCTTTCCCTCACTGGCGAGTGAGCTTCTTGTTCAAGTCAAGGGAGCCCCTGAAAGGAGAGCCTGAAAGGAGAACTTCCATGAGAAGACATGTCACCCTTGCAGCACCCCCTAGTACAGGGCAGCATCTACTTCACAGGAGCAGCGCCTTGGGGCTGGAGGATCAGCTCCCAGGCTCAAGGGTTCTTCATCCTAAAGTGAAGAACAGCCGCCTAAGGCACCCCCTCACAGGGGCATGGTATTAGTGTGTTCTGCTGGACAGAAGAGCATCCTGTCTCCACATTTCTGTGTCTATCAGCATGTCCTGAGCAAAATATGTGTAATTTATATGGGTTAAACTCAGCCAAGCTCTTTACCATTCCAGTCACGTTCCTGGTGGCCTGACAGGCAGAGCCAGGCATTTCTGCATTGCATGCTATGGGGATCAAGTGTTAGAGCACCCAGGGAAGTGGGGAGGGTCCCTGTCACCCCCTCCCGCACTCACACCCATGTCTTGGCCATGGAGCTACATCCCATTTTAAGTCCTGCACTGGAGGGGTCTTCCCTTCGAGAAGGTCAGGATGCTGGGCTAAAAGCAAAATTTGTAAGGTGATCTGAATTTTTAAATATAGCTTCAGTTAAATGGATAGATAAAATAGATAGGTGGGATAAAGATTAAAAGAAAATACAGGAAATTTTTGTGAGTGGCTAATTTTGACTAGTGGGATAACAGATTACGTGTGCGTGCGTGTGTGTGTGTGATCCATTTTTTCCAAAGTTTCTACAATGATCCTGTGTAGTTTTGTAACTAGGAAAATAAGTTATTTTTAAAAGCAACCAATAGCAGATGATCCATAGGACAAGAGTACTATTTCTCTAAGTTCCCATGTGCTTCAGAAAGTACCTTTCCTAATGTTTGGAGTAGTTTACTGTTCCTTCTATGGCCAAAACAATAAACCCTCAAAATGTATTCATCATAAAACAGTTGATAGTTGTCTCCCGCAAATTACTGTTCAAAGACACACACATAGCTGCTGTGTTAGTCAACCATGAAGTTATGCGAAGACTTGGAGGAAGTAGATGCAGGTTCCTGTGGTCTCCTCCTTGGTTCCTGGGCCCACTTTCCAGAACTGTACCTTTATCAACTGTGAAGTAAAAAATCCAAAAGACTTAATCCCAGCACTCAGGAGGCTGAGGCAGGAGGATCACTGCAAGTTCAAGACCAACCTGGGCTACATAGTGAGCTCAAGGCCAGCCTGAACCGCAAATCAAGACCCTGTCTCAAAAAAAAAACAAAAACAAAAAACAAATAAACAAAAAAACCAAAAGACTTCTAAATTTGGTTAGACAATAAATGAAAATGTAAAAAATGCTTTAAAAAGTTTTACAAAAAGAATATAGATATTTTCAAATCAAAATCAAAATGGCAGAACTTGATTTAAATCCCTATTGATCTGTGTAAATGGTTTGAAACACTGCTACCAGAATAGTGATCTCCCTGTGTACATGTGCAGACCAGTGACTGTCATGCACTCTTGGACTCTTGTTCCAGTCCTGTGGTCTTTGACTCCATAACCCACCACATACAAGGGCCTACTCTGTCACACACATACACTCTCTCTCTCTTTCTCACATAGTCTACCTTTCATTTATAAAAGAAAAATCCAAGCCACTGGGCAACCAATAAATATTCTAAGTGAACAGCAGAGACAAAAGTCTACCACCAACCCCTTTGCAGACAGAACCAAACCAATAATGTGATATGCTCCTCTCCCTCTGCCGGGCTGGCCTGTGAGATCTTGTGCCAGTGCTAAGCTGCGTGTTTTGCATATGTCTGAGGGTTCCCTGACCCAGAAGGGGAATGAGAGCTGGAGAGAATCTATCTCCCTTATAACTGGTATATCCGTCAGGGGCCCTGTGTGTGGGATCGCACGATGAAGCAGGGGGCCCTGGAATTGGAACTCTGGCTTATTTTCTGAGTCTGCACCACAGGATGGTTGTGCGCTGGAGAAGTAAAAACTGTTTGCAAACAACTGATCAGGGTAATTTGAGAAAGTTCAACTGCAACATAGGTTTAATCAATGAACATAACCCTGGTTTGCCTGGGATGGGACAGGTATCTAGTTATTATTCGAGTGTAATTTTTTATTCCCTTCTATATTTAAACACATCTCAGTTTAGATGATAAAACACGCAGGCAATCAAGTCTAAGTGACCAGACCACAGTTACAACTGTAAAACTGTACAGTGACTCAGTGAGAAAATAATGCTTTAATGCAAGAAGTATGGTCTTTGAAACCCCTCTTTGGAATTTCATATAGCTCACCATGTCTGGCAGATGTCAAATCTGGTAGGCTTGAAAAGGATAGGGGTTTTAATGAGGCCCGTGTGAAAACTACTCACTTCTGTCTTCTCACATGCCTGCTGATCAACTGGATCACCCAGCATGCTTACAGCTGCAGACCACAACTAGACCACAAATGAAATCAGTATTTCAAACTTTTTACAAAACAAGAGTCTACAATGAGAAATAAGAAGTGAGAAAAAAAGTTAGGTAGATGTTCCATTCAGATCCGCATGCTGATGCTCATCAGCTTGTGTTGACTAAGCCACGTGATCAGAGAACCAACAAGTCACAGAGCAATTAAGCATAGACCTATCTTTTTTGTGGTGAAAAAATACCTATAAAAATGTGTTTCCTATGAGGATGGAATAGGAGTGGCAACATCACCGTCTGATCTTTCATATTAAAACAAAGATCTGCAATGGGAAACCAACAATTGGCTTATAAATTCCCTGAAGACAGGGCTTATTATTTTATTGCCCTTCTTTACATATTATACAGCCTCAGATTTGCCCCATTCTGGGTTCTGTTAATTTGCTTCAAGAAGTTCAGCTGACTGGTGACACTAGCTGCCCTCCTGATCCATCACACTCGGCCCTGGCTTTTCCACCCAAGCACTGAGCAGGCAGAGGTGCTTCTCCTTCGTGATTCCTGAATGCCAGGGCTCCTCTGAGGGGTAAGATTTTCTCAGGGACCTCCCTCCCCATGAGTCCAGCCCCAGCATTCTCAGAACTAGGCGATGGCCTGGGGCGTTTCTGACTCCTGCATTGCTTCCACTCTCTCTGTCCCTAGACATCAGATCAGCACTGAAGTCAAAACACCTTACCATGCAGGACGTGGTGGTTCATGCCTATAATCTCAGCACCCAGCAGGCTGAGGCAGGAAGATCACCATGAGTTAAAGGCCAGCCTGGGCTACATAATAAGTTCAAGGCTTTCCTGAAATACATTGTGCGACCCTGTCTCTAAATAAATAAATAAATGTTAGAAAGGCTTTCCCTGGCCTCCCTGACCACTGTGGTGCCCTCCCCTCTTTAGTTTTCACAGTTTGCTTCCCCAAATCTCATCTGATATATATGTTGAATGGCTGGTCTATGGTAGAAATAGTCTGATTATGGGCCCAGGTGGTCCTCACTGGCTCCCAGTTAGGACAGTGTGATCATGGAGTATGACTCTCACAGACATCACCATGCTTCCTAGTTAAGCCCCATACTTATCAGGGGGAATCTGGGTTTTAGTATTAACTATGACCCCTCCCCAAATCAGAAAAATAAGTAATAAACATTTTGGCATCTCTCAAACTTTAAAAGTGATGCCAGTATTTCTAGGTTGAGGGTAAAAGCACATAACAAAAACGTAAATATCCTAAGCTGAGGGCAAACATGTTCTGTTGAGTTTTAATGCCTCTTGGACAGGTCCTCTCCCAACTCTGAATCTGTGTTTTAAGTATACTCTTCCTCACACTGATCTTCCCTGTTGCAAAATAAGTTTACTGAGAACCCAAAATAAAACAATATGGTGATGAAAGATATTGACCAAGAAGACCAACAATCGGTCTAAATAGTCATGAACCCAGATTTAAAGGTCATTTGGGCAGACAGATGCCTAAATCCTTCCCTGTTTGGCAATGAACAGTGGAATGACTGCTATAGGAAGCGGACAAATGTGTTATGACTCTCAGGTTCCTCAACCATATTACTAAAATACTATTAAATGCATCCTACCAAATGTGTTCTTTCACATCCTCTAAGCAGCAGCCAAGACATGACTGGATGTGCATGAGACTGATGCAGGGAAACTCCTGTGAACGAAAAATGAGAAAGAAGTTGTGGGGCACTGATGAATGTGTAACTCCTGGCTACCTGGGGGGAAATGTATACATATGTGTTCATGGGTAAGTTCGCTATAAAACTCACGGGCACAAATGCTGTATGACACAGCTTGAAATTAATAAGAAAATGTGAGTTTCTCTTTATTATAAATTCCTACATCCAACTGATTCTCACAGCATGATTTTCTTAGTTTTCACCAAACTCTGGTGTCTGCAGCCAATGGTTGCATTCAATCATTATTTGATAAAATCAGGAAACAGACAATTGCTTGATTACTGTCCAGTTCAGTAAAGAAGTCATGTCACTAATCATAATTGCTTTCTAGTTCTGAAAGAATATTTAATAATGTGACAGATATAGGCGGACTACTCTTCTAAGTTCAATCTGTATTATTAAGATTTTCTTTATCACTTTCTGAAGTCTAGGCCAGGGGTTAGCAAATATTTTTTCAAAAAGAATGGGGAATAAATACTTTTCCCTTCATAAGTCATATGGTCCGTGTTGCACCTACTCAATCCTGCCATTATAGCGTGAAAGTGACTCTAGCAATATGTACACAAAATAGCTAAACAAGGAAGCAGAGCTGTACTACAATAAAATTTTACTTACAAACACAGGCAGTCACAGACTTGAAAAGAGAGCCAACCTTTTGTCTAGATGATGAACAGAACAGTAAACCAAGTCATGTATGTTTCACAGAGTCTGCCAACTTCCATGGTGTGAATATTCCCTGTTAGGCCTATTTCCAGCTACCAATGGGCATCGATGACTTTTAAAGAGATGTTTGACAGTTGTACCCCATCATTTAGCACTTTTACCCTATACAAACATACACACTCCTAAATAACTAGAAGAGTACTCATTACTGTAAAAAACAGTAAGTAGTGATGAATTTTGTATATTTGTTCTTTGTTTCTGATATATCTTAACCAAAAGTATATATAATTTAATTTTAATAATGTCTGTATTTAATAATCATTCAAAAATTGAGTTGCCAGCTCTGGCAACTCAAAGAAAGGCAGAACAGGTAGCAAAAGTGATCAGACTATGATGCAGGCCTGACCTCTGTTCAGGACAAAGGGAAGGAACTCGGTAGGGAGACAGCAAGGTAGGCCTCATAAATTCAGGCCAGACTGATGGAGACATCTTGCACTAAAGCTACCTGTTAATGAAGTTCTGTGTTTGAGAAATGAGCCTGCATTAATACCTTGCCAGGTTCAGCCACTGTCTAGAAAGAGCCCACAAGAAGTTTGGCCTGGGCATTTGACTTGGAGTAGATCCAATCCTGCCCTAGCGTCATCGCCCAATTAGCTGCTGAAATAGCTGACACTGCCACTCTGTTATGCCTCCCATGTCTGGTGGCACATTGTCATGGCCACTATACCATGTAAGAGTTAGTTTCATTTGTTAATAATGAATCCATGTTATACTAATAAGTGCATCAAGTTCAATACAACACCCAGGCCGTAGCCCCTAGTCAAAGAACCCAGGTGACAAAAGTCATGTGTTGGGAGGCTGGCTGGGTTGCAGAACCTTTAGAGATGCATGAGAAAGGAGTGCCTGTGAAGGTCGGTGTTTTCCAGATTGATGGAGAGGTCAATCACAAATTACAGCACAAAATAACTACTTAATAACCACAATGAAGGAACATACTGTGACAATTACTAGTAGGTGGACATTAATACAGAAGATCACATAAGTTTAACAGGTCCTTATTTCTTACGTGCAGTGTCTTCTCACCTAGCAGAGTGCAAGGATGCCAGAATGAAGTGGCTGCCACCGCAGGCGCTGTAGTCCTCTGTTTTGCCACCCCTCTTCAAACAGGCTGACTCTGTTTACGTCACTCCTTTTACCTAAAGTTGAGGTGGAAAGAGGGTGACAACCGATGTCCTGAGAGTGTCCCCACGTCCCTCACTCCCCTACTCCTTGTCAACGTTTTAATTCTCAGTCCTTGGTTGCTAACATGCTTTAACAACGAGCATTACCAGACAACAAGTCAGCTTTCCAAATTCTTTCCATTCTTTCCTGGGCCAAAGTTGGAGAGAGTTTTAAGTAAGTTTTCCTGCAGTCAATTTGGTGCCTAGAGGCTTCATAATATTTATACCTTTTAAGTTGTAGTATTTCATGGGAACGTGGAAAGAGTTTGAAGAATTACACTCATTTTAGAGTGGAAAAATTAAAGTGAATCCAATTTTTCCTTCTTTTTTTGTGCACTGTAACTTTTTGCACTTAGTGTTTATTACCTTATACCCAGTGCCTCCAGCTTCTTTCCATTCGCTTCCACGCCCATAACTGAGCAGAGTTTAATCACCTTGTGGGTTAGGATGCCAATTTGAGTTTGAGAGGGGCACAAATATTCAGACCATAGCACCTTCGAAGTCCATTTTTAAAATGTGGCTATATAATGTCCCACCACCATGTGCTAAAAAGATTATCCTTCCCCCATCAAGGTGTCTCTGCTCCTTGCCACAAATCAACTAGCCATATTAGTGTGTATTCATTTCTGAACTCTCTTCTCTGCCTGATTGATCCATTTGCCTGTGGCCAGTGCCACACTATCTTAATGATGATAGTTTTGTACTAATCCTCAAAATTAAGTAGTGTAAGTCCTCCAACTTCCTTCTTCTTCAAAATTACATTGGATAATTATTTCTTTGCTTTTCTAAAACAAAAATGATATTACTATCATCATTATCATTATTATTATTGAGATAGAGACTCTGTTGTCCAGGCTGGTTGTGAATTCCTGGGCTCCTGCCTCAGCCTCTCAAGTACTTACAATTCCAGGTACCCAGATCTTCCATATAAAATTTAGAGTCAGTTTATTGATGGCTATAGAAAAGTCTTCCCAGGACTCTGATTGGAATTATGTTGAACCCAATAACAAATTGGGGAGGATTAAATTTGGGGGAAGTGCCTAATCATAGTCTTCACCCATTTTACTGTTTCTTTTCTTTGCTCATTTGTAAAAGTCACACGCTTCTTGTAAAGTACTCCTGAGAAGAAAAAGGAAATAGGTCAGTGGGCCAGCAGCTGTGAAGACAAAGTCACTAATCAGCTATGTGTGCTCTTGCCCTACCCAGGCTCCGAGAGGAATGGAGGCAGAGGTTGGAAAAGAGACTTCAGATGCTGGATAATCCTGAGCAGGAAAAGCAGCCCCAGCCCGCTGACTGAGAGCTTCCTGCCATGCTGCCTTCATAGACACCAAACTGCCAAGAGCATTTTTTTAGCAGAAAAAGCCAACACCCAGTTATGCTGACTTACTAAGCAGTACTCTGTCTAGCTCCTCTCCCATTTGTGGAGGGATTTACATGTGAAGCCTCCCCTGGTGCTAATGGGGGTTATTATCCAGTTTAATCCTCTTTGCACAGAGGACAGGGTGACCACAAATGGGAGAGGAAGCATGGATTATTTAACATGGAAAGTTCTTAGAGTGCCCCCCCCACCCCAGGTTTCGAAGATCCATGTAACATTACCTAGTCTCACATTTTCTTCGAATTTTGAAATCTGAACATTTTCTTTGAGCTTACAGCAGGCAGTCATTTTGGTGGGAGTCTGGATTCCACAAATCTTCTGGAAATAAGAAAGTAAAAAGTCTTCGTCCTCCTTTACCCCTTTTTGTGCATAGAGAAGTATTGCTGCTTACAGAAATAAAGTTATCGTTATTTCTAAAAATTTAACAATATGGCTTGAAAATGAAGTAACTTGGTTTTTGCTGTTATAAATTTGGAATTTTTTTTCATAGACATGTTTAATCAAAAACACACAGTGAAAGCAGAATAATGCTAGATAAACAGGGCTGCCATGCACTCACATTGCCTGCCCTTGACATCACCCACCCTGGACCACTCCTTTCTCTGGTGCTACAGTAAGTGGCCCCAGCTGCCCCAAATGCTTACTCCAGTAATGTCATCTTCACATTATCCTGCTCTCAGGTCCCAAACATGGCTAACAGGCAGATGGCTTTCAAAGGTAGCTTTGATGAGGACTCCTCTTGTGAGATGCAAGCAGAGGAATGTAGAGTTGGCAACCCTTGCTAACTCAGGGATTCAGATGGCCTAAGTGACCCTGACGGTATGGGGGATGTCTTGGTTACTTTTCTCTCGTTGCTGAGACAAAATACCGATGCCCAAAATTAAGGAAGGAAAGATTTATTTAGCTCACAGTTTGTGGAGATTTCAGTCCATACTTGGCTAGCTCCAAGGCAGGGTGGCACATGGCAGAGGGCAACAGTTCATAACGGTCAAAGATAGCAAAAGCAACAGAAGCAAAAGGGAGGAGTGGTGGCAAGCAGCTTCTTTCTCTTCCTTACATATGCAAACCATCCGCCCCAGGGCGGATATAGCATTCACACTTACAATCCCAGCACTGGATCATGGATCAATCATAAACTCTAAAAGCCCGCCCCATGACTGCATGAGGATTTGGGGGGACATGCATAACACGGGACAATGCTAGAGAGGACATCCAGCCCTCACAGATGCTGTGGGCTCTCATAACATGCTTCCTTCTGCTTCCTTGGAGGACTAATGGCCTCATCATGGCTTAGAGAGCCATGGGTGGAAAGAAGGCTTGGAAGGATATTTTAAGAGACCCAGACAACAGTGCTAGGGCCCCTTCTATGGGCTCCTGTTCAATTCAGATACAAGTAGGCTGTAGACTACAGTTGGGAAAATCTGACCTAATTTGGAAATGGATGTTAATAATAAAATAGAATTTTGTTTGGGACAGAGAACCCTGGGAATAAGTATTAAGATACCTAACCACATCTGAAGGTCAGGGAGAGCCCTCTGAGAAATAGATACTGAGGCTATGTGTATAAACCCCAAAGGCCAGGTCATATACCTCAACTACATATAACATACGAAGATACATGAAAAAACATGCAGGAAAATAGGACAGGGCAGGTATCATGGGCAAAACAGAGCAGCACGTTTGAAGATCTAGGGAGAAGAGAGAGACAGCACAAGGGGACATCAACCTGCCATCCATAGAGAGATGAACACAGAGTGAGGAGGGGACCATCTATGGGAGAATGGAGAAGAGAGCATGGGAGTCTGGAATCAGGCTAAAGAGTTCATCAGCTTGTTAGTTTGTTACCACAGGGTAACAAAGAGCCATTGGCAAGAAGTAGAGGAATGAACTGATTAGATTTGCACTATTTATTTTTTTCAAACTTTTGGATACAAAAACATGCATTTAATTTTATGTAAATATATAAATAAGATCATACTGTATATCAGTCAATTTTCTTTCACCATGACAAAATACCTGAGGTAATTAACTTAAACAGAGGCTTACCATTTGGCAGCCAAATCCATGGTCAGTTGGCCCCATTTCTTTGGACCTGTGGTGAGGCAACACATCATGGTGGGAGTACATGGTGGAGGATCCTGCTCACCTCATGGAAGTTGGAAAGGAAAAAGAGACAAGAGGGTGCCAGAGACCCAATATACCCTTCAAGTACCCTCACCCAATGACCTAACTTCCTTCTACAAGGCCCCATCTCCTCATGGTTCTGTCACCTCCCAATATGCTGCAATCTGGGCACCAAGCTTTAAAACATGACAATATGATTTCATCATAATTTTTTGTCGGCCTTCTCAACCAATTCTGTCCAGGGTAAGCAGATCCTAAACTAGGTGCCTGCAGATGTATAAGAAAAAAGAAGACCAAGAGAGCCAAAATCCTGTGATCAGGTGCTAGCAGCCTCTAGGACTGACTGACCCCTGATTACCATCTACAGTAACCTTTTATTCAGAATCCACCAAGGAGGCAGCCGAGGAATCGAGAAATCGGAGGATATCAACTGTTTTAGCAAGGACAATACAACTCAATTATCCTAGGAATGCAACCTAGGATAGGTTGACCAGTAAGCCATCATGTTATCTTCCTTCACCCATATCTCAGCAAAGCATCTAGTATTGATCCTAAGGCTTACAGTGCTTATGCTAGACTTCATCCAGAACCCAACAATCATGGCTTGGTCAGGCCTCAGGCAATACACAAAATGGTAACTAAGGAATGTCCTTCTCCACAATTTTTTACTAACATTTTCTTCCCCCTTTTTTTGTCCACTCACTACTGACCCTTATAGGCAAGTAACCTATGTTAACAACCTCCAATAGTTCACATAACCCTTTGTGCATTCCTCTCTCTCTCTCTGGAAGGCTTTGTGTGAATGTGTTCGTGTGAGCATCATGGAAAACAGAATTATATTATATTTTTCTGCATCTTGCATTCTTCCTCAACTATACCTGGTACAAATATGTCTAGGTCAGTTTAGCTCCAACTCCCAATTATACCATAATGTAGATGCTCTTCAATAAAGACAACAATATTTTTAGAGGTAGACAATCATCTAAATTCCAAAGTTTTGCCTGTGATCAGATAGACAATCAGGTAGACAATCATCTAAATTCCAAAGTTTTGCCACTTGAATAATATAGCAGGAAACACACTTGTCCATAGGTCCTTTCTACTAGTGTTTTTATACCAGAAATTAGATTCCCTAGAATGGTAAACTAGAATGAAGAATATTATATACCAGCATTTTTTCTTTTGAGATGTTCTTTTAATTGTTTCCAGAATAGCCTGGAAATGTTCATTTGAACCAACAGTTTATGAGTAGCTTTCTTCCCATCTCACTACCAGCAATAAATGTCATAGTTCTTTTCACTTTTTTTCTAGTCTGAGGGGTATGGAATGACGTCCCTTGTGTCTCTGACCCCTAGGTGAATGCGGGTCACATTTTGTTTCTTCATTAGTTAGATTTTCTCCTCTGTAAAATGCTTACTTATACCCAATGCCTATTTTCCTAAAGTTTGCCTCTCATGTCAATGCATGTAAACTCTTTACACAATGTAAACTATGACCCCTGGATTGTCATTTATGTTAGAAACCTAGAGGGCAGGGAAGGTCAGATTAATTAAATATTCATTATCAAGTCTGGAAAGTTGAAGTTATAAAGGGAAAATTGACACATTTATCTATATGAAAATTATACGATGCAGTTGTATGAGCAGAAGAGTTTGGGCATATTTGCAAGTTAAAATGATCACTTGATAGCAGTTGGATGAGTGGATTACAGGAGATGGCAGAACATGGCTAGAGATAGCTCAGAAGGTTGCTTCATAGTCACCATAATAGGAAAAGGGCGTGAGCAAGTGGAATGCCCAGGTCCTATAGGTAGATTGAAGGTAGAGAAGTGAGGCATGGACCACCTAAAAATATAGATGTTCATTTATTTTAGCTAGCACTTAACATGGACCTGAAGAAATACTTGAGCTGTTTCTACCACCAGCTCCACTGGAGGACATTGGGCACGGTGCCCACTCTCCTAAGCTTTGCTGTCCTCCTCTGTAGCAATGGGCACCCCACCGTGCTTCTTGAGATTAAATGAGCAAATGTGAAAGATCCTCGAGCAGGACCTAACATCTGCATACCAAAGCTCTCTGCCTCTTCTCTCCTTCTCTCTGAGTCCCCCTGGGGACCACCACTGGCTACCACCAGTCTGGGCCGATGAGGAATACATGTGGCTCTTCCTGGGTCACTGGTTCCCAAGCCTGTTTCAAATCCATGGATTCCTAGGCCCCACTTTCAAGGACTTGAATTCTGTGAGTCTAGTGTGGAACTCAGGGATTTCTCTTTTATTAAAACACCCGGGAAACCATGATGCTTAGCCTCAGAACTCAGAAATTAGTTCTCCCAAAGGTATAGAATCTGTTGAAAATCGGCTAGTGAAGAAAGATGGACAAGGGATGTGCTGGAAAGCACAGGCTAGTGGAGGTCTGGTGGTCTCCCAAGGAAGATGAGGTCAAACGTTAAAGGAAAGGTCAGCTGAACAAAGCCAGGAAAGGTCCTCTGCCGTGGATGCAGTGAGTAGTCGACTGGGGTTAAGTAAGGAAGGCCACAGAAGGCCAAGCTAGGGAATTTGGACTTCAGCACATAGGCAATGGAGACCCATCAAAGGTTTTTAAGCAGGCGAGTAACTCGCTAAGAACTTGTCTTAGTAACTTAGTCAAACAAACCTGGCAGCAGTGGGGAGAATGCACTCTGCAGATGTGAGGGATTGTCTCTGCTTAAACAATGACTATCCAAACAGCTTTATTTGGAAAATATTCCCCTTTGGTGATCTTCAACTTCGGTCAAGGTGAGTGAAGTTCAAACATGCAGTAGTGTAAGGAATATGATGCCGAACAACAATGGGATAATTTGCCTTCTGCTGCAGCTCAAGATAATCACTTTTAAACTTCCAGTTTTCTGTTTCAAAATTAATTAGCACTTTTCCTTTAGTGACCTTATGTGAAACAGAGGAGAACAGGAAAATGTGAAGTTACACCAACTCAGACGTGAGCTCAACTACTCAGGAAAACTTTACTTTTGAAAAGTAGAGTGCAGCGTCAGTGACACAAAAGAATACCACAAAAAATGCCCTTTGTCTTTTGGACAACTAAAAACAATGTAGAATCGACGACAGAAAAAACTAAAGCAGAAACTGTCTCTTTTCCCGAAGTAATTTAACTGCAAGATTGAGAAGCGCTCTTCACTTCCA